CCAAAACCCTGAAAAATGAGAAATCCTTCAATGCAGCCATTGATTCCCAAAATTCATGCACCAATTGAGTTCGTAAACTCACATGCATCCAATCAATCTACATTCTAGCTTCCCTCACCTGAAAGTTGGTTCAAAATGGCCAAGAACAGAGTAGAAGAAGAAATTTCTCCAAAGCTCGACCCGTGGACTTCAATCCTCTAAAAGTAAGCTTCCTAGCCTAAATTCCAAGAGAAGACAAAAGAGATTAGTAATCTAGAAGAGAAGAGGAATCAAACAGAGAAATTTGGGAGAGAAAGGACTCTCTACGTTTCTTTGATAATGAACTTATGAAGTTTCCTTATCAGAAAAACCCTTATATACTCTTCTTTCTAGAATCAACTAAACTCTAAAATCTACTCACTACATTACATATATCTTTTATATATTGTTATATACAACTATCCTTAACACACTCCAAATCTTTTCTTTCAACCACTTACTTTATTATTTTTATTTTTTAAATATAAAAATGTACAGAGTGTCTCTTTTACACAACTATATATAGAGACAATAATTAGTTTTTTCGTTGACACAAATTTTTGGATGATCTTTTCTTTATAACTATTTTTAAACCACTCTCTCCAACTATCTTCTTTATTTAATTTATATCTTTATTTTTTTTAGTAAATCTCTAACTAATTATCATCTCATTATTTTTTTAATAGTAGAGACACATAGTAACTCTCTCCGCTAATGTGTGTTTATATATATGAGTTAGGATCTGTTGATATCAAATGTAAGTATAAACTTATACCAAATCTTATCTTTTCAATAACATTTTATATAATAAAAATTTGACCAATCTAATTGCTATATTATATAATATCATATTCAAGATTATATATATATATATATATATATATATATAAATATCAAATTTTACATAATTTTAAAATTATTTGTTAATTTATCACATTGTTTTATTATAAAATAATATATATATATATAGGGGAATCTTAATATACTCCCACCTATTTTTTAGTGGGAGTATGTTAGCAACCTACACCAAAATTTTAGAACAAAAAAACCACTCATTTCTTTTGATTTGGTTAATTTATATAAATGATATTATAGTAATTTAATTTAATTTTAAAAGAAAATTAAATATTTTCTCTTTTATTAATTTCTTTCACCAAGTCATTTATCTCTCCTGTTAAATTCCTTCTCCAACCTATTTCTCTTTCCTATTAAATTCTTTCTCTAATTTATTTATCTCTCCTATTAAATTCCTTTTTTAACTTATTTCTCTCTCATCTCTCGTGATGTCTCCTCCTCTCTCTGAATAAATAAAAATTAATTAATAGAAAAAAAATGACTTAGTGGATGAAGTTAATAATATATATATGGGGAATGCTAATATACTCCCACATATTTCTTAGTGGGAGTATGTTAGCAACCTATTTCAAAATTTTAGGACAAAAAAACCACTCATTTCTTTTGATTTGGTTAATTCTTACAAAGGATATTATAGTAATTTAATTTAATTTTAAATGAAAATAAAATATTTTCTCTCTCTTATTAACTTCATTCACTAAGTCATTTCTTTTTTCTATTAAATTCCTTCTCCAACCCATTTCTCTTTCCTATTAAATTCTTTCTCTAACTTATTTATCTCTCTCCTATTAAATTCCTTCTCCAACCCATTTCTCTTTCCTATTAAATTCTTTCTCTAACTTATTTATCTCTCTCTTATTAAATTCCTTCTTTAACTCATTTCTCTCTCATCTCTCATGATGTCTCCCTCTCTCTATGAACAAAAAAAAATTAATTAAAAAAAAAGAAATGACTTAGTGAATGAAGTTAATAAGAGAGAGAAAATATTTTATTTTTATTTAAAATTAAATTAAATTACTATAATATCCTTTGTACGAATTAACCAAATCAAAAGAAATGAGTAGTTTTTTATCCTAAAATTTTGGTGTAGGTTGCTACTCCTTCCGTTTTTTATTCATAGTCGTTTAAGGTTTTGCACGGGACTTAAAGAAATGATTGATATTTTAGTTTTCAAAAATATTTATTACTTACTTTCTTATTCTACCCTGTATTTTTTTTATAGTATTTCGTTGGAAACATATTGCCCTTTTAAATGTAACATTAACTTTACATAGGTAGTCGGAGAAAAAATAGGTAGACATTATAAATAAATAGACACATTGTTCAGTAAACATACATTAATTATCAAGGGTAAAAATGAGAAAAAAAATTAATAAGTCATTGATTTTAGTAAAATAAAAATGAAAAAAATGAAAAATTCTAACAAAACGACTATGAATAAAAAACGGAGGGAGTAACATACTCTCCCTAAAAAATAGGTGGGAGTATATTAGCATTGCCCATATATATCTATAGTTAATCACCTATACACTGTCAATGTAAAGTTTTTTTATACTGACAACCAATTATATCCTTTAATTGTGTCATGTCATGTTAAAAGTAAATGTGTTTACAGTGACATGACATAATTAAATGATATAATTGGTTGTCAGTGTAAAAAAACTTTACGCTAACAATGTATAGGTAATTAACTCATATATATATATATATATATATTATCATACTAATATTTTTATTTTTATTTTCTATTTATAATCTTTATTCAAACTTTATGATTTTTTTGTTATATGTTTCATATGAGTTATGCACAAGAATTAAGACAATAATTAATATTTTATTTTTTCAAAGTATTTATTACATATTTTCCTATTATACCCTTTAGGTAGTTGGAGAAGAAATAATTACATTAGAAAATGAATAGACATATTGTTCAGTAAACATAAATTAATTATTAAGGAAAAAATGAAGAAAAAAATTAATTAGTCATTAATTTTAGAAAAGTGACAATAAAAAAAAATAACAAAATCTAACAAAACGACTATGAAAAAGAAACGGAGGGACTATATGCCTTGAAATCATAATTCTTTCAAATCATAAATTTTGAAAATTATGATACATAAGAATAATTAAAATATATTTAATTAACCATTAATGTTTTCTGAAAAATATTTAATTGGACATAAATATTTTTAAAAATATTTATAAATGATACTTGACCATTAACAATTATTATAACATTAAATGAATGGTATCTTTAACGATTTTACCGCATTAACTCTTTTCTTTTTAAACTGGAAATGCGACTTTCCTACCTCCTCATGTGAACAATTATTTGAAAAATATAAAAAAAAAATTTCTTGTGGATTTATGTTTCTTGAAAATGTTATTTTTTTAAAATAAAAAAGTAAACATAAAAAATTAACATTCTCAATTTTAAATTTTCAAAAAGTTAATTTTTTTCATGTACAAAATGTCTCTATGTGTTTGATAGGATGCACTTCAAGCATTATTAGCGAAAAAATATCCTTTTATATATATATATAAAATAAATACACACTCATGAGTCAATATCTATTGAAATCAGGTGCATGTCTAAAAATTTATAGCAAATCATATATCTTTAATAACTTTTATTATATGATACAAATTTAATTGATTTAACCATTAAATTATGCATTAATATTATACTCAAGAGCATGTATATATATTATGTTACAATGGTGACAACAATAATGATAGTTGAAATGGTGTGACAACAATATTATAATAACAATGATAACAATAACAATAATAAAGAAAATTATGACAATGGTGGTATATTACTGTATTTGTAATCTTTTAATCAAAGTCTTTTAATCTAACACTTGTTGCTAGTTGTTCTCATGTTAGTAAGTATTTTCATTTGAGTGGTCCTATTAGAAGATGTTTCTAATAAGAAACTTCTTAATATAAGAAAATAAAAATTATTAATAATAACCATTAAATTAAAATAGATAGGTAAAATTAATTAACTATAAAAAAAATTACCATATATCATTACCATATATATCTATCATAATCGACACCAATACTATCATCACACAATCATAAAATATGATGGCTTTATCTTGAGGAAACTCGAGATCATCACTCAAATTATCTTCCTTTGCTGTTGTAGCCAAAGCCATAAGTATTATTAATTACAATATTAAATAATACACAAGATTTTTATTTATTGAAAATTGAAAAAATAAATACATTTTCAGTATTTTCATTTCTTTTTATAATAAAAAATTATAAAAATTAAACCAAACACTTTTAAACTTACATATATATGTGATTGTAAGACCTACTTTAAGACCCAAGGGCCGACATTGTATTTTTAGGTTTAATTTTTGTCTATATTAAAATAATAATTGGCTAGCGGGAGACACGTCCCGCGAACATAGATTAGTTATTAATTGTTAGCTATAGATTATCACATGGACACTATAAGAATTTTTGCCATATAATGATCAATGACACACACCTTACAGTGAAACAATATGTGTCACTAAAAATTACTTTTACATACACAATAAATGCAATATATATTGATATATTATTAAAAAAATGTGGGTATAAATTAAGTGATACACAAAATATGTTGTTAAATCTCATTCAAAATCAATACTAAAATTGTGTGTAATTATATATCAAATAGATATATACCTACATATATTATATTTATAATGACACATTTTGTGTGTCACTATATGTAATATTTTTTGTAGTGGGACTATGTCCATGGATCAAATAAAAAAACTTAAATATTTATAAAATATATTAAGCCTAATGGACATAAAACATGTCACCCTATACTTTCACATAATAATTTTTTTTTTCGTAATCATAATATTAGTACAAAATATCTAATATAAAAAGTTATGACCAATTTTCGTCAACCATAAATAGATACAATATAAATATATTTTCTTTTTCAATATAATTTATTTCATAAATTTCTAAGAATTTCACATGATATTTATCTCTAACAAATTCTTCTTTCATGTCATATTTTAATTTATATATTTTTATCAAATGCATAAAAGTAACTCACATCAAGAAATATAAAAATACATTAACTATAACATGATTTTGGTCTAAGCATACACATTAACACATTAATGAACACCACAATTTCCAACAACTAAACCCAAGAAGCCAGCACACGGTTTCACTCTCATTTCTCAGTCTCAGCTCCAGTTGATCTGTTGTATACCCTGACTTTGAAACCCCCAGCCATATGAGCCGCCAGTAGAGGAACAAAACGCGGGCGCTCATCAGAAACCGGCGAAATAACAAAGGACTTAAGAACAGAAGCCACCACATACTCCATCTGAATGAAAGCCATTTCCTTCCCAAGACACACTCTAGGACCCGCCAGAAACACCGCAAACTTGTAAGGACTCACACTCTTCACAATTCCATTATCAACATTATCTTCATGGAACCACCGTTGGGGTTTAAACTCCAAACAGTCCTTCCCCCACAGAGCTTCCATTCTCCCCATCCCATACGGAAAATAAGTAACCCTATCCCCTTTCCCCACGCGAGTCCCATCGGGTAACACGTCAGCACCAATCGCATGCTTCGAGTCCCACGCAACCGGAGGGTACAGCCTCATGGACTCGCACAAACACGCCTTCAGAAACCTCATCTCTTTCAACCACTCGTAGTCCAAACGCAAACCCTTCTCACTCACCTCTTTCACTATCACCTCCTCTTCCTCTCGCTGCTTCGATAGCAACCAAAACAGCCACGTCATCGCCGCCGAAGTCGTGTTCCTCCCCGCCATTATCATGCTTATAACCATGTCTCTTACCAACGTTTCCGATTGCCCCGCCTCCAACAACCGAACAAGCAAATCCATGCTTTTTTTCCCCTTCTTTATATCCTTCTTCTTTGTTACTATAATCTCCGTCACCGACTCGTGTGTTGGGAAGAAACTTTAAAGGCTAGAAGGAAGTATTTAAGATTGAGAGAGGTTGGAAGATTTTGAGAGAAAGAAAGGCTTGTTGTATTGAATGTTTCTAAACTTTTTTGCTTACTTCCAAATGGTTAGGATCTTGCCACCACAACATTCATCTAAGGGCTATAATTCATTTTCTAGAACTTTCTAAAACATTCCTACAATTCTAAACTTTTCTAAACTTATCTAGAAACATCTTATGGATAAACATCTATAGATATTTTGTACATCATTCTAGAATCTTTTAGATAGGATTTTCTAGAATTCTATTTGGGCCTTTGCTAATATTGGGCTTTTATCTTTTAAGCCCAACATACAAAATCAATTTATATTCCAACACCCCCTCTTAAACTTGATTTTGTACTCCAAGCAAACTTCTCAACTTCATAAAGACTTCTTTCTTCAGCGGTTTGGTGAAGATATCTGCTACCTGATCATGCGTCTTCACATATTCCATTTGCACATCCTTGTTGCTGATGCATTCTCTAATGTAATGGTAACGGGTGTGGATGTGCTTACTTCGATCATGGAAGACTGGGTTTTTTGCTAATGCTATTGCCGACTTGTTGTCCACGTAAATCTTTGTTGGCTCCACTTGTGGCAAGCTTAACTCCTTCAATAGGTTGCGTAGCCAAATAGCATGGCAAACGCATGAAGTTGCAGCTACATACTCTGCTTCACATGTAGACAAAGTGACAATAGGCTGCTTCTTGGACATCCAAGTAAAGGCTGTGTCTCCCATGTAGAACACAAATCCACTTGTGCTCTTTCGGTCATCCATATCTCCACTCCAATCGCTATCACTATATCCAACAAGCTTGTAATCGTTAGAATTTGAGTAGTATAGGCCAAAGCTTGTCGTACCTTTGATATATCGAAGAATCCTCTTCGCAGTCTTGAGGTGAGTAGTTGTTGGAGCTTCCATGTACCGACTCACGACTCCAACGACATAGAGAATGTCTGGTCTTGTACAAGTTAAATAGCGCAAACTTCCAACAAGACTTTTATAGAGGGTTGGATCCACCTTTTCTCCCTCTTCATCCTTACTCAACTTGATGCCGCATTCCATAGGAGTGCCAACTGGATTAGCATCATCCAACTTGAACTTCTTGAGGAGGTCTTTAGCATAGCTTTCTTGAGTAATAAAAATTCCTTTGTTTCCTTGCTTTACTTCAATTCCGAGATAATATGCCATAAGCCCCATGTCGGTCATTTCAAACTCCTTGGTCATATCCTTCTTGAATTCCTCAAACATGCTTGGATTGTTCCCTGTAAAGATCAAGTCATCGACATACAAGCATACAATCAAAATATCTTTACCTTGAGCTTTGATATAGAGTGCATGACACTTGATGAAATTCGCTTCTTTGAAGTACTTGTCAATCCAAACATTCCAAGCTCTCGGAGCTTGTTTCAATCCATAAAGAGTTTTCTTTAATCTCAAGACTTTATCTTCTTCTCCTTTAACTTCATATCCTTGTGGTTGCTCAATGTAGACTTCTTCTTCAAGAACTCCATTTAAGAAGGCAGATTTGACATCCATTTGATGTATCTTCCAATTATTCTGAGCTTCTAATGATATAATAAGTCTAACAGTTTCTAGTCGAGCAACAGGAGCAAATTCCTCATCATAGTCGATGCCAGCCCTTTGAATGTAGCCCTTTGCTACCAATCTTGCTTTGTATCTCTGAACTTCTCCTTTGGAGTCCTTCTTTGCTTTTTAGACCCACTTGACACTAGAGCAAGTCCAAGTCAAGATACAATAATGTAGAGTGTTATTATTGTAATAAACCTAGGCATATCCAAAAGAATTGTTTTCTATGGAAAAAGGAGAATAAAGGCAAGAAGGGTAAGCAGAAAGAGAAAGATCATGATGATGATTCTCAAAGCTTTGATCAGAAGGCCACTTTCCTTCTCAACATGGGCTTTAAACTTCTTGAAGTTCTCGAATACTTCTGATTTTTCTTTTAAGAAATATACCCATGTTTTTCTTGAAAAATCATCAATGAAGAGAAGGAAATAATTACTCTTACCAAGTGATCTTGGCTTGATTGGTCCGCACACATCTGTGTGTATGAGTTCTAATGGCTTTTGAGCTCTTGAGTCTGACTCCTTTGGAAAACTCAATCGAAATTGTTTTCCAAGTAGACATCCTTCACAGACTTGGTTGGGGTGAGTAATACAAGGCAGCCCTCTCACCATTGCCTTCTTGGAGAGCAACTCTAATCCTTTAAAATTAAGATGGCCAAATCGAAGATGCCAAAGCCACGATTGGTCTTTGTAGCACATCTTGAGACATTGTGGGCCATCACTTTGAATGTTGAGCACGAACATTCTATTTCTCGTCATTGGCACCTTTGCAATGAATCTACTTGTGTTATCTCTTATAGAAAGGTTATTATTCTTAAGTTGAATATCATAACCTTTCTCTAAGAGTTGTCCTAAGCTCAAGATGTTGCTCTTCATGCTTGGCACATAATATACGTTGGAAATAAATTGATGTTCTCCATTCTTTAGTCGGATGAGGACATTACCTTTTCCTTCCACCGCCACCTTTGATTCATCTCCAAAAGCCACGTTTCCCTTTACTGATTCGTCAAGCTCTACGAACATGCTTCTTTTCCCACACATATGGTTACTTGCTCCACTGTCAAGGTACCACTGATTATCCTCGCCTTTATCTTGGCCCTTGTAAGCCAATAGCAAGGTACCATCTTCTTGACACCTTTCTTCAGCATAATTGGCTTTCTCTTCGACTTTATTTTTGTTAGGGGCTCTACATTCAGAAGCATAATGTCCAAACTTATTACAATTGTAACACTTGATTCGTGACTTGTCATACCTTGAATTCGGATTTCCTCTCCCACGACCTCTGTTAGAGCTTTCTCCTCTCTGGTTATTATTGTTAGGCCTTCGTCCTTGTCCATGTCCATATGCACGCCCTCGTCCTTGTTCTTGACTATAACTTCGCCTTGATTGGTTGTGTGCATTTTCTTCTTTTCTTGAATCAACATGTGCCTTGAAGACTTGCTCCACGATCTCTTCCTTCTTCTTTTTCTTTTCTTCATAAGCTTGCAACGAACCAAGAAGTTGCTCTATTGACATGGCCTCCAAGTCTTTTGTTTCTTCGGTAATGGTGACAATATGTTCGAACTTTGGATCCAATGATCTAAGAATTTTCTCCATAATTCTTACATCATCTAACTTCTCACCATTTCTTTTTAGGTTATTAGTAACTGTTAAAACTCTCGAAAAGTAATCGGAGACTAGTTCACCTTCCTTCATATGTAAAGCTTCAAACTCTCCTCTCAAAGTTTGAAGACGTACCTTTTTTACTTGATCTGCTCCCTTGTAAGAGATCTTGAGCTTCTCCCATGCTTCCTTGGCTGTCTTGACTCCGGAAATCTTCTCAAAAGTATCTTCATCTAATCCTTGATAGATTAGACAGAGAGCTTTCTTGTCTCTCTTCCTTGAGTCTCTCAAGCTATCCTTTTGAGCTTGAGAAAGACTCTCTACATTCTCTGGTTCGGTGTGGCCCTTCTCGACCACCTCCCAGACATCATGTGCACCAAGGAGAGCTACCATCCTTAAGCTCCAATTGTCATAGTTGCTCTTGGTGAGCATCGGGACTTGAAAAGGAACTCCAGTATTTGCCATTTCTCTGAAGATCTTATGGCTCTTGATACCACTTTGTTGGGAAGAAACTTTAAAGGCTAGAAGGAAGTGTTTAAGATTGGGAGAGGTTGGAAGATTTTGAGAGAAAGAAAGGCTTGTTGTATTGAATGCTTCTAAACTTTTTGGCTTACTTCCAAATGATACAACCATCCCCTATTTATACTAGTGGCACCTCCTTAACCAATGGTTAGGATCTTGCCTCCACAAGATTTATCTAAGGGCTATAATTCATTCTCTAGAACTTTCTAAAACATTCCTACAATTCTAAACTTTTCTAAACTTATCTAGAAACATCTTATGGATAAACATTTATAGATATTTTGTACATCATTTTAGAATCTTTTAGATAGGATTTTCTAGAATTCTATTTAGGCCTTTGCTAATATTGGGCTTTTATCTTTTAAGCCCAACATACAAAATCAATTTATATTCCAACATCGTGCACCAGCTTCACCGCTTCCTTCATCGACTTCTCCGACCCCATGTCAAACATCCTCTTCATCTTCCACACCACAAACACCGGCGCGGCCCCACGCGCCGCGCTCACCTCCGAAGCCGTGTCGAACGCCGTCAAGAGTGGCGGCAAGGGCTTCGACAAATCCAAACAGCACGGGTCGTGCCCTAAGGACACCTTGCAGACCGTATCAAAGGTGAGTCTCCGCAGCACGTCTTGAAGGTCGATCACGTGGCTCCCACGTGCGGCCCAATCCAAGAGTGGGAGAAGCCTATTGTGAACCTCTTCGTTGAGGGTTTTGACGATGAAGTCTCTGAGGGAGCGCGTGGTGAACTCGTGGCTGGCTAACTTGCGCTGCGCGTGCCACAACTCGCCGTCGACGTTGAATATGCCGCAGCCGAGAAGGTCGCCGAGGATTTCGGTGAAGGGTTTGCCTTTGGGGAAGTTGGCGAAGTTGGTCTTCAGGATGTACTCCACGTTGTGGGGGTTCGCCGTCACCACCGTGCGGCGCGCGCCGAGGCGGTGCACGACGATGGTTTGCGTAGGCGATTGGGCCAAGTGGTGGGTGTACCAATCGAGGAGACGGTGGCGGTTTTGGTAAAAGGAAATGAGGCATCCAATGATGGGGTGTGAAGGAGGTGCATGGTTATGATAACGTTGTTGTTGTTGTTGCTGTAGCTCGTTGAAGAGAAGGAGAAACCCCAAGCCTAAGCTTATGGACCCGAGAAAAACAAAGAAGAAAATAAGCATGGCTTGTGAGTGTTTGTTTGACAAACTTTACTCAAATATTATCCCCTTGTGTTAGGGTCTGTCTGTGAGAGATTTTAATGGAAAGAATGGGAGGAGAAGACTTAAAAGTTTTGTCCCGTTCAGAATATGACAGCAAATAAAGGATTTGTATTCTCTCCTCCCGGTAACAATAATAACTATTATTAGATATATTTATTTAATAGTTTAAATTTAATCTTATAAAAATTATTTAAGAAATTACATTAATTATATTAAAAAATTAATCAAAATTATTATAATATTATTTAAAAATTTACATTAATTTTATAATAATATTTTTGGTTGTGTAATAATAAAATTATTTAAGAAATATATATAATTATATTGATAATAGTTGACATTTATTTTAAAATATGAACTATTATTAATATAATTGTATATATTTCTTAAATAATTTTGATTATTGCATGACCAAAAATATTATTACAAAATTAATATAATTTCTTAAATAATATTGAAATAATTTTGATTAATTTGGTAATATTGTAATTAATGTAATTTTTTAAATAATTTTTATAAGATTGAATTTGAACCATTAGATATATCCAATGATTATTATTATTACTGGAGAGAGACTAGAGAGAGAGGATTGCAGGAGAGGATCCAAATTCGCAAATAAAAGGTAATTTTTCTTTATTTGGTAAAAGAATTTTAAATTTTAATTTATTTTTGTATTTTATAATTTTAAATTTAATAATA